GAATACTATTGGATCAGCGATTATCTTGGCATCTACATATTGAACTGTTAATGACTGGGATTAGAAAATTCATAAGGTTTTTCAAAATTTTGAGACATCTCGCAACACCACCTATATTAAAACAAGTATATATTTCTTTAGTTCAATCAGTTCTGGTATATTGTATTAGTATATGGGGAGGTGCTACAAAAACAAAGTTTTTAGATTTAGAAAGAGCCCAGAGATCATTACTGAAGGTTATGAATTTTAAACCTTACAAATTCCCAACACAAGATTTATACACACTATGTGATCTTCTTACAATTCGTAAGTTATACATACTAAATATAGTTCTTAAGGTACACAAGTCCCTTGCATATAACCCTGAAATTAAAAGTAAAAGGAGGAAAACTAACGTAGCTCCAAGTGATCCGGTTAAAACAGCATTTGCTAGACGGCAACAGGCAAAAAAGTCCTCTTATTTATATAACTACTTAAATAAAGAATTGAATATTTATTCTAAAACCAGTAAAGAATGTAAGGTAATTCTCATTGAATGGCTCAAACGGAAAGACTATCACGAAATAGAAAATTTGTTAAAATAACACGACTTACAAAACACACACACACACACACACACACACAACACACACACACACACACACACACACACACACACACACACACACAAACACACACACACGCGCGCGCGCACGCACACACACACACACACACACACACACACACACACACACACACACACACACACACACACACACACATGCACACGCACGCGCACACATCTTCATATTTTTTTCATAATAAATTATTTTAGGAAAGGAATATTATGCTATTCTTGTAACTAAAGTATTGTATGTTAATTAAGGAAGAGCGAGTTTTTCCTGTCACAAGTATTTAAAAATACTTAAAAGGAGAACTCTAATATACTGCTATGATTGTTAATTTTTTGATACAGAATAAACATTTTTGAATTTTGAAATATTTGTACGTCGTAATTTTTATACGTCGCAGAGCCATGCGCGGTTATATTAGTAGTATAGTTGTAGCACGAGCGGGTCGGCTCGACATGGGAAGGACCACGCTCTCACAGAGTACCAGCGTAAAATAGTAGTTTAATGCTGCTATGTTTCGTATGGTGAGTTTAGAGAACCGGAGACCCTTTTTACTGGAAACAAGGCATTCCATCTTAGTCCTCACGGGTGACAACGCGTCTGTATTTTGATTCGTAATCGAGGATGGATGTAGATTTCCATGAGTCACAGCAACCACTTACCATCAGGTGGACTGTGTGCTCGTTTGTTACCCTATCCTATAAGAAAAAAAGAAACTTTAACTATAGCTCTTATTTGAGAATATTACGGAGTATAAGCAATTTAAATAAGGGCAGAGGAGAGGTAAATACCTAGACTGGGATAATACGTGCATTGATACTTTGGCGATCTCTCATTTGTCAGATATACCTCATTTGGAGCCGAGTAAATGGTGCAAATATGTCGTTTCGTGAGGTCCACGAGTGATGAAGTTCCAAAAGGAACGGTATCTGTGACCCATCGTCGACGCTGGTGACAAGAGAGTCAAGAGCTGGTTCTTAATCTCGCCAGAAGACTAAGTATATCCATAAAGCGAGGAAATGCAGCAATTCTTGGCACTAAACTGCGGGTAGTAGGACCGTATTATAATTTTTGGTTTACGAATATGTTTTTCGAGCTTGTATTGTAACGTAAGTAGTCCTTAAACTAAAGCTTACGGCGTATTGGGGATTTGGTTTTTAGACTGCAAGTAAATACTCTCAAGAAATATAAACTTAATTATGCAAATTTTACATTTTTTAGCTGACCCTTTTTTACATCTTTTCTCTGGCGACTTTTTTTGACTGGACGAAGTAGCGTCGAAGAGACGTCTAGTACTGTGACTCACAGCTGGCTTTCCAAGATTGTTTGATAACGGCAAATCTTTCATAAGATGAAGGAGGCGCATTGTTATAAGTTATAAGTGTTATAAGTTCTTTACGGTGTGAATTATTTTCGAGATGGTAAAAAATACGTAATGTCAACGAGGTAATGATGCCCCCGTGTCTGAAGTGCATGCGATTACAGCAGGCAATGTCTCAACACATAAAATTATTTTATTTTGCACAGTTGCAGCGCAGGTATGAACTACGAACCCCTCACGGCACAAGTGTTTGTATGGCCTACAAATTGTTGTTTCGAGTCTGGATGTTTGTAATTGTGCAATTTATTGACTCCACGATACAGGAGGATATCTTAGTATGGTAACGTTTTTTTACAAAGAAATTACATTTTTCTTTGCTTATTTTAATGTCTCGAAGTTTCAAATAATTGAGCGCCTTCACAGGTTACATCATCATCAAAGTGCATGTGGCCAAGTGGTCAGAGAAACTGACTACTTTACATGGAGAAATGCCTATAAACCAGCCTCGTGAAGGGGCAAAGATGGGCTATGTCGGACCCGACCATGGTATTCCATCTTCGCCGCATTTTTTCAGGGCAATGGTAAAGCTATCGCATACATCCATCCCACCAGCACCGGCTGCCCCATTACATGGTTCCGCCGATTTTCGACTCCTTACTCTTTCCGCATCCTAGGTTCAGATAGGAGTCATTATTTGTACTAAACTACGAATTCTTGATTGGGTCTGATTGAGTTATAATAGTCCACACTATTCCTAACATCACTGTAAATCGCCCTGGAAACAGACACAAATCACGGTTAACCATCTAATTTTTTTTAACTCTTTACTAAATTATAGAGTCATGGTAGCTCAGGGGCTAAGGGCTCGTTTTGAACGTCACAGTATGCAAGCAGCCCGGGTTCGATCCCCGTTGGCACCAATGAAACTCCTAATTACAATTTTAAGTACTGATTTAGCACATACTCGATGCTTAAGGAAAACATTGTGAGGAAATCTGCATGTTGAGAAACAAAAAAAATATTTCGATGATGTGTAAAGTCCGCCACAACAATCATTGGGGCAGTGCGGCCAACATTTCCTTGCCCTAAAATCCGCCCAAAAATGAAACGAGGCCTGTGCCCAGCTGTGGGAAGTGTATAGGCTGTAACTTTACTGTAACTAACCTATTATGTCATTCCATCTATGAGTAATAAACGACTTTCAACACTGTGCTTTCTGACACGATGCTGTCTCTGAGAAAGTTAGAGTAACGGTATACAGAAACAGAAACTTTTTTATTCAATATTGATTATAAATAATACTTATTGAAAGTTTTTTAAATTTACCACTCGCAAAGAAAAGAAACCTCTGTCCTGGGAAGAATCACCAAGAAACTCAGCGGGACAATTTTTTTTAAGTAACAGCTTACAATCATGTATGTTACAATTAACAACACAAAACAAATTAGAAATGACTTGGTAGCGATCACCATTCCCAGGGGTTGTTATCTTGGTAGCGATCACCATTCCCATCCATTGTGTTGTTAATTGTAACATACACAATCATGTATGTTACAATTAACAACACAAAACAAATTAGAAATGACTTGGTAGCGATCACCATTCCCAGGGGTTGTTATCTTGGTAGCGATCACCATTCCCATCCATTGTGTTGTTAATTGTAACATACACAATCATGTATGTTACAATTAACAACACAAAACAAATTAGAAATGACTTGGTAGCGATCACCATTCCCAGGGGTTGTTATCTTGGTAGCGATCACCATTCCCATCCATTGTGTTGTTAATTGTAACATACACAATCATGTATGTTACAATTAACAACACAAAACAAATTAGAAATGACTTGGTAGCGATCACCATTCCCAGGGGTTGTTATCATAAATTCCTTAATATTATAATAATCCTTTTTCTACGCATATATATATATTAAAGATATGAACTTTGTGTATGTCAAATTTTGTATATTATATATATTTTGTTTTAAAAGCGTATACATCGCCCCAAGAATGAATTACTGACTCGGTGGAGTCGAGTAACTGGTACTACTAGCTTGTGTCTGTTCCTAGTATTTACAGAACGAATATCACTTATTTTTATAAGACTACTTTTATTTTTGTGTACGTAGATTACATTCTCATAAATGTATCGAGAGGCCAATTTTAATATATTCATTTCTTAAAACTTTAGGTTTTAAATTATAGATTGCCATTAGAGGCCCTCTTCTGTAAAACAGATATAATTTCAGTGTCAGTCGCAAAATACTATATGGCAATATGCTATGGAAATAGCTAAAGTAAACTAGTCTAGCTGTTTCAACACTGTTAAAATTTCTAATCTTTTTTACAGCATAAAGGATGATTCACGCTACAACGTGGCGCAGCCGGGCCGTGCCCCGGCCGGGACACGTCCACCGTGCGCTGGCCGGGCCAGTCATTCATGTTACAACGGGCTGTTTACACGACCGTGGCTTATGCACGACTCTGTGTTATGTGGTTTTTGTCAGCTAGTGATTTCATCTGTCGATAGACTTCACGCTTACGTAAATACGCAATTTTCACAATTTGAATTGGCAACTATTGCAATTGCCATCGATAATGAAATATTGGAAAAACGAAGCGAAACTACTAAAAGAAGATGGGGTGTACATCCAACCTGGAGAAAGCGAGAAGCAGAAGGAGAATTTGCTTTACAAAGAATTAATAGATGATGAGAGCAAGTTTTATGGTTATTTTAGAATGTCTAAAGAATGCTTTACTTTTTTACTTGAAAAAGTAAAACCAGACCTAACCAAAAAAATTACAAGATTTCAAAAGCCTATATCTCCCATCGAACGATTAGCAGTCTGCATCAGGTAAATAATAAATTGATATGCAATAAATCACATAGTATTTAAAAATGTAGTATTTAAAAATTGACCCGTCTCACAACCATCTATCAGAGCTGATTGTAAGATGGGTCGATTTTTTCTAAATACTTCATTTTCAATTTTTCAATAATAAAAATTGCATTGTGAACGAAAAAAAGTAAAAATTTAAATAATTCGCATAGTATTTATTCATTTCATTAGTCTGCCGTGAACTCTGAAAATAAAGTAGACAAATTATTAGATTCCAAAGGCGTAAATTCCGAAGGCGAAGGTTCCGAAGGCGTAGGTTCCGTAGGCGTTGATTCCGGTGTTGGCGTTGGTGTAGTCATCGGAACCGGTGTATACACCGATCTTGAATTAGTAGACGACGCCGACGTTGTTCCACTCATTGGAGATGTGTAAGAAGAAGGCTCTGATGACAATTGCTCCCACTCCAAATCTTGTACTACTGCAAATATTCTTCCTTTTGCAAGATGCTGATAGTAAGGGGAAAAAGATTTTATGGTGGCTGCCAAACTGTTGAAGAAAGCATCAATAGGATGAATGTCTTGTGTGTTGGACTTTTCTTTATTTTTTAGAATGTATTCCATTAATGCGCTTGACGCAGAGGACTGGGATTGTGGCACTATACGATGGCAATTGTGTGCAGTTGCAACGGTTGCATTGCGATTGCGGTTGCTGGAACGAGTGAATTGTGCAGTTGACGGGGGATATGGATTCGGATCAACAGGTGGCGTAAAATTTGGTTCACTAATAGCTGGTGAGCGATCTTCCTGCTGCTGCTGTTCATCGGTGTTAATTGTTTCGTTGGGCGTAGTAACTGGCGTAGTAACCGTTTCGTTTAGTGTCTCTTCGTTCTCAGACTCGATACTTGTTATTGTATTTCGATCCTGTATATGAGGCAGTAAAAAATTCAAGCTCTCTTCATATTTATATTTTTTTATAGCCACAGCACCCTGTCCACTCTTGGTTTTACGGTTGTTTCTATGTTTTTTGAACTGGTCCCGTATGTTTGCCCACCTTTTTTTACATACATCATCTGCAAAAAGATAGTATAGAATGAACAAGTTAAGTAATTTTCTTTACAACCTGTATAAATGGTACTGTTAATACGTAATAGCTCACTGTAGTACACAGATACCGCGAAATTATACCATTATTATTTTTTCAGGTTCCTGGCTACTGGGGATTCGTTTAAAACTATTTCGTACAGTTTTCGATTGGGGCATTCAACTGTGACCGAAATTGTACATAGCACATGTCGATCTATCGTTAAAAGATTTAAGAAAGACGTTATACCAGAACCAACAGAAGAAATGTGGCGTAAAATTGCCGAAGATTTTGAAAACCTTAGAGGTTTTCCAAATCGTATAGGCGCATTGGATGGAAAACATTTTGTTATTGAAGCCCCAGCCGATAGTGGTTCTATATATTTTAATTATAAACACACATTCTCAATTGTTTTATTGGCGTTAGTGGACGCATGCTACAAATTTATTGCAGTTGATGTTGGCGCTTACGGACGAAACAGTGATGGTGGCATTTTTGCACAATGTAATCTTGGAAAACATTTACAAAATGGGACGCTTCATGTACCTATTGATAAAAATTTACCCGATTCCTCTACGTTTGCACCTTATGTAATAGTTGGTGATGAAGCGTTTCCTTTGAAAACTTACCTAATGCGACCGTATCCAGGACACCAAGCAACAGGTGACGCTAATAAAACGAATTTCAATCATAGACTGTCTTTGGCCCGGCGACTAGTCGAAAATGTATTTCAAATAAGATAAATAAGAATATTTCAAAGAAGAATGAAACTTGCTCCAGAAAATGTTGATTACATTATTCTATCTATATGCGTACTGCATAATTTTTTATGCGAACAAAAAGATTACACAGGGCTTATCAATCATAGTGCACAAAATGCGCAACCACATTTATTAAATCCATTGAGCGTTCAACCAGGAAAAGCCGGCTAATGATGCATTTGCGGTAAGAGAAACGTTTAAAGAATATTTAGCGTCAACAGCGGGATGTAATTTTATAGGACAACAGTATCAAGAATAAATACATACTTACACTATAATATACTTCTTATAATTTACCTAACATATTCTAAAATACCTACTAAAAACCGATAATCCCACTCACATGTATGTTGTCGTAAAGTAATTAGTGACACTTGAATAACTATTGTAAATGTAAATTGAAATAAAAGTTACAACTTACCAGATTGTTTTATTTCGTCCGAAATGGTTTTCCAAATAATATTTTTGTATTTGTTATCTAAATACTTAGGATGGCTCATATCGTAAATCACAGGGTATTTGCGCACTAATAATTTTTCATCGTCCATTTTGCTGTTGAGCTGCTCACTTCACTAAGATTTGACGTTGACTGCTCTCCGGGCGCCCGGGCGCATATGTTCATGTTACAACGTGTCGGTGCCGGACCGTGCCGGAGCCGGGAAACAATACCCACCGACATTTCAACGCCGTGCCCCGGTCGAGTCCCGGCGGCGTACGAACGGGGCACGGCCGGGCCACGGTCAGGCATGAATCGCTTCATACAAAAAGTACACCATAATGTTTGACCGTGCCCCGGCCGGTCCCGGCCCGGCCGCGCCACGTTATAGCGTGAATCATCCTTAAGAGGACGACACTGAAAGTTTTTAGAATTGGCCACTTGTACACAATATAATAAAAAAATAAGTTCAAATTTTGAAAATGGAACTCTTTGCTAATATTATTGTGTATGTATTTTAATTTTTCATTTGTGTCTTGTTACGATTTGGCGGCAAATTGAAGATTGTCTGTTTCACGTCAGCATGAATTTAAAGCGAGAAAATTTTCTTACAATGATTTTTTATGACTTTCGATGTCATTTAAGTCACCAAGAAAATTTACCGTTTTGCAACTTCATCGTATATAATGCGTACAGCTAAAGACCCTCTGTGTGGGTGTCTTCAAGACAAGAATGAATAGGTTTTTGTTAAAATTAGTTACGGCGCTTAAACATCTTCAGCCTCATCACCATTTCCCATCAGGTGGAAGGTGGGATAGTAGACGAATACAGATCATTGACATACTCAATGACATCGGCATCGATAATAGTTAAAAAATGGATTGGAACGGATTTCGTAAACTTTTCAAGTTGACAGAAAAGCCAGCCAGTCAGCCCAGCCTCTCCGCTTTGCGTTCGGCGTGTGCAAAAAGTTGTTGTTTTTTTTAAATTACGTAAAAATTTTTGAAAAACTTTAACGAGGCAGTTTGCATACATAAATTGCACAAGGACAAATATCAAGTCCCGGGAATATTGCTTGCCATACAAATACCGGCGCCGTGCGGGATTCAAACCCGCGAGCCTTAGCGCCGAAACTCAATGCTAAGTTAATTAATAGAATCAGGCGTTACTTTGAAACCAATTATATTAAAAACTAATTTTTTTCCACGAATTCACCCGCGTGTTATTTAGGTTTTAATATTTTTGAGCGGAACCCTAATTCTTCTTCTAAAATAAAAGTAGCCTAGGTTACTCGATACAACATCAGCTATCTGCCATTTAAAGTCCCGTCCGTCGAGCAGTTTTGGAGATTAGCTGGAACAAACAGACAGAAAGACAGCCAAAAAAATTAATAATTGTGTTTTTGTTATAAGTACTTACATACCCTATTAACTTTCATAATTATGCATTTAGTAAAAAGATGTTATTTTGATATTAAAAACAGACTATTTTATTTATTTGTATGGATGTATAGATGTTAAAAGTCACTTAGCTAATTAATTTTTAACATGTTTAATCAATGCTAAACTACTGCGCCACGGAGTCGCCAATTTTTTTATTTCTTAAATTTCGTAATCCTAAATGATGAGATCACGATGCTGATTTTTACGCTTTGTACGTAAATTAGTGCTTAAGAATACACTGTTAATATCCATGAGATGGTATCAACCCCGAGAATCGAAATTCAACACACTAAGGACTTGTCCAGAGTTAAGTAATGTTTAGTATAAGATTCATTATTTACTATTTATCAATAATTCAAAACAAAGATTATCAGACTTAAAGTTCTTTCAAGCAACATGTAGCTGACGTGAAGCGAACGCTCCGGGAAGTCTGCAGTCAACATGTTCAAGATCGTCCCCACCATTAGATCAGATTTGATAAACCACAAATTAAAAAAACATCCTAATTTCAATAGACAAGTTGGATGGGTGCTGCAATCTGCTTGGGATCTTATAATTAACAAAATTAAATCCAAACCCAAGCATATCACTGCAAGACTTCAAGATATTGTAAACTTCTTCTGCGTAGATCGGACCATAAATTAATATTCAAAAACTGTAGGTAGGCGGGCTAACTATGACATTGGGACGTTAAAAATTTCAATCCCCCCCCTGAACCATGGGTGCTGTAAAGCACCCGAAATGTCGGAAACTAAAATAAGTTAATTAAACGCTATAAAATCCGTATATATAGTTTTATTCAATATAGTTTGTAACTACATCATCGATTAATTTCAACAGTTTCGCAAATCTGGCAAAATAGTTTGATGAGATTTCGTCGAAATACACATTTCTAAGCTAAGTTTTCTGATTAATGAGATAAGTTTTTGAGGAGTTGTAAACAAATAACTTGCGTAGTTATAAGTTACGTCTATCTATCAGTTTTCAAAACGCAAGGCGCTGATTAGTCTTAAATAATTTAATTATGCATAAAAAACTAATCTTTTAGCCTATATACGTCCCACTGGCTTCGTCTCACTGTTATGTTCACAAGAATGCTTTAAAATTTAGTTTAGTATTAAGATTAATGTCTATTGGCAAAGCACATAATTTTGTAACACAACGTTTCACAATATTACAACCACTTTTAACACTATACATTATGGTGTGACCGTCACTTCCCGGATGTTTATCTACGATAAGTCCCAGACACCATTTACCAGGTGGCAGACCTTCACTCTTAACTAAAACTATATCTCCTAGTTCAAACTCGCACTGATGTCCCTGCCACTTCGGGCGTTGTTGTAGTCTTGTCAGGTATTCCGTCTGCCAACATCCCCAGAAATCTCCCAGAAGTTTTTGAAGGTGCTGCCATCGTGTTAAGTTTGAAATTCGAGTGTCTTTCAGGTCGACTGAAGGGACTATAATCGGAGCTTGACCAATTAAAAAATGCCCAGGTGTTAATGACTCTATAACTTCGGGATCATCCGTGTCTATTGGAAATAATATTTAGAACGAAGATAACATAAAGTCATCTGGACACCACCGTGCATCGTATAGAAGTGAGCATCGGCGATAATTAAAGGCGTTAGGTTGTTCCTTGTGCCCAGTATTATCGGAAATTTTTCTTCTAGCTCAGAGTGACGAAGGCAACCGCCCACCCTGAGAATATCCACTTCGTCTAAAAAGGGATTCAGACTCTTCAAATAACTGTTTGTTTTTACAGGCTTATTGTCTTTTAATCTTTGAATCTCTTCCGCAAATTCTTCGTTTTGAACCAGTCTTATGATAATCTGTCCAAGTCTTCTTTATTTAGTGGTTCTGGAATTTTATTTGTATTTTTCTTGTAATTTAAAAGTCTTCGACAATATGTGGTTACCTTAAGCATTTCCTGTACTGTCTCAAAGTTTTCTAACCGTTCTATTAACTTATTTTGTTTTGTTTTTACTTCTTCTGCTTCTGTAATGTTAATATTTACTAGTATTTTAGTTCTTTTCATTTCCAAATCAGTTTCTTTCGTTTGGTTGTTGGAAAATTGGATTTCCTTTTCTAGTAACCATGTTGGTCCTGCCTACCAGAGCTTACATGACTTCAACTCGGACAGTAACATGCCTCTTGAGGCTATGTCCGCTGGATTGTTTTTTGAAACCACATGATGCCATCTATTGCAGTGTACATTTTCCATTATTTCGACCACGCGATTCGCTACAAACAGTTTCGATTTGTGAGGATCTCCTGCGAGCCAAGCAAGAACAATTGATGAGTCTGTCCAGGCAAATATCTGTGATGGTGGTATTCTCATTGCCTGTGAAACTTGCTTGAGTAGACGAGACAGCAGCAAAGCACCGCATAATTCCAATCTAGGTAGCGAGATCGTTCGTAACGGCGCAACTCTGGACCTGTTTTGATTGTTCCGTCTTCGGCTTTGATCCTAGCATATACAAGCGCTGCGTATGCTTGCATTGACGCATCGCAAAAGCCATGAATTTATAAGTTGACGCTCATTTTACTCGTTGTGCCAATCCTTCTATCGACTTCAATATCGTTGACTTGTTGGAAGTCTGATCGGATAGAAATCTATTCGTGCAGCAAATGTGAACTGATCTTGTCGTCCCAGTTCAACTTTTCTAGCCACAACTTTTGGGTAAAAATTTTCATCATGACTATGCTTGATCAAAGAGCTTCTGTATCTCGGACAAAACACTTCTCTTGGTGATAGTGGCTTAAATGGGTGGTAAGAGAGCTTCATATTAAAATTTATCTGTACCCATATTCCATTTAATACCCAGGGCCTTTACGGTTCCATCAATGTTGAGGTTAAAATGTGCACTGCTGGATCGATCTTCTGGTTTGATAGATTGCATGAAGTCCAGATTATTTGAAGCCCATTAAGACAGAGTGAAACCTCCCTTCTTTACAATTTCATCGACTTCAATGGCTTTAGTTAAAGTTTCTTCCACAGTATCAGCTTCGCTCATCAAATCATCCATATAGAACTCTTCTTTAATTATTTGAACTGCTTTAGGATGATTCTTGCCTTCATCATTAGCGATTTGATGAAGAGTTCGAACCGCAAAGTAGGGAGCAGATGCGGTGCCGAAAGTCGCGCGAAGAATTCTGTACTCTTTAATATCTTCGGATGCGTCTGAGCGCCAAAGGACTCGTTGGTAAGTATCAGCATCTTCGGGGAACACCAATATTTGACGGTAAATCTTCTGTATATCACTCTTGTAACATATGCGTTTCATTCTCCATTTCATTATTAGGTTATGAAGATCTTCTTGTAGTGGAGGTCCTACTAGGAGTTCATCATTCAACGAGACATTATTCGACTCCTTGCAGGAAGCATCAAACAAAAATCTTATTTTCGTGGATTCTTTATCTTCG